GATTTCGATCAGACATTTGCGTCGATCAGCCGTCACACCTCCGTCAGAATCCTGCTCGCCATCGCCGCTGCAGGCACCTGCCACTGCGCCAAATCGATGTGAAGAACGCGTTCATGTACGCGTTAGTAGATGCAGTCATCTACGTGGAGCAGCCGCACACGTACGGAGAAGGAGACTCGCGAGTGTGTCAGCTGCGCAAATCCCTTTACGGGATTAAACAGGCACCAAGGCTCTGGCAGCAGTACCTGCACAACATTCTGCTTGAAATAGGCTTCAAGCAAATGCCTCATGACCCTGGGATGTACCGCCGCAATTTCTGCGGAGAATACATCCTGCTCACCGTCTAAATCGACGACTTGCTCTACACAGGGTCGAGCAACGAACTGCTCGAGCAATTCGAGAAGAATCTGGCGGGGCGCGCCGACAACACCAGCAACTACGACGTGAAGTAGTTCTTAGGACTCAATATCCACTACGCGCCAGAAGCCATTCACCTCTCAGCGGCTAAGTATGCAGAGGAGCTTGGCAAACGTTTCAACATTACGCCCGCGCCGCTCTCCACTCCTTACCGCACTCCTGGACCGAACCACAAGCCTGACAATAAAGCCCTATCCTTTGCTGGAATCCAAACTTACCAGCAGCAGCTGGGATGCCTGCTCTTCGCCTCCGTCACCTGCAGGCCCGACCTTTCCTACATCGCGAGCCAACTGGCTCAGTACTCCCGCAAACCAACGGCTGAGAACCTTCTGGATCTGCAGCGCGCATTACAGTTCTTGGTTTCGACGCCTAAGATTGGGCTCTGTTACTCAATAGTGCCAACCCCAACCTTCAATCTCATCGGCTACGTGGACGCTAATCACGCAGCAGACCCCGACAATCGACGGTCCAGGACTGGGTTCCTGTTTTGACTCGAGCCGACAGGACCAATTTCATGGAACTCGCAGAAACAGGAATTGGTTGCCTTGTCATCGGCCGAAGCGGAGTTCATCGCCGCAACAGCAGCAGTTCGCGAGGGCCTCTATCTGCAAGATCTCCTGCAAGAGGCGAAAATTCCAGCCTCGCCTACCTTTCGCCTACACTGCGACAACCAGAGCGCGATCCGCATCGCAAACAAGCCTGGATTCGTCAATCGCACCAAGCACATTGCGCTGCGATATTTTTTCGTCAAGAACGAAGCGGACAAAGGCAAGGTGGACCTGACTTACTGTCCGACAGGTGACATGGCAGCTGACTTCCTGACGAAGCGACTGCCACGCCAGCAGTACCAGCACTGCTCCGAACTCAGCGGAGTAGTCAAGCAGGTCAAGTCGAGCTACGGCCAGGAGTGAAGGGGGGTGTTACAAATAGAGAAATTTGATTGTGTACTCCTAACTGCAGCAAAGCAAAGCACACAGTATCAAAGCATGAACACGAAGAGTCAGAGTTGACTCGAAGCGTTGCAGACGGTTGGGATGGATCTGGACTGTCGGAGCAGACGGCATCGAACAGCTGCAGGATCGAGGGAATTGGCGGGAACAGACTGTTCGAGCCGTACGGTTGAGTTTGAACTTGAATAAGGGAATGTAACCCCTAGAGTACATGGCTAGCTAGGTCGTTTCGTATTCCCCTTGTACTACTATTTATATGCTTGTATCTGCATGTCTTAAAATATCTCAAAGCATTTTACATTCCCTCTATTTTGAGTTCAAGATAATGGTAGACTCGATAATAGGAAAAGAGAAATATTCATGGGTCACTGTAGAAATGTATGTGAAACAGTAATAATAAAGGAATGTACGCCTTAGAGTACATGGCTAGTTAGACCTATTCATTGCTTGTAATTTATCCTTTAACCAATCTTGTCATTTACATTCACTATGCACAAGGTTCCTACCACAAGAATTCTGCTACCAAATCTCTCTTAGGCAGACCTATCCTCTCCAAAGATCCTCACTCTAACATGGTATGAGAGCTAGTTTGGATTATGGGAATTGCCGAGTCTTTCATTTTTTATCAGGGCAAGCATCATGCCAGGCGCAGACTGTGGTTAAACTGGAGAGCATCCAAAAAATCCGTCCACAAATGTCGCCTCTTGAACGACAACCGTGGACCCAACGCTCATCGAGCAGCTCATGAGCCGCATCAACGCACTAGAGAGCCATCAGCCGATGAGCATTGATGGTTCCAGCAATGCCCGCACGCCTCCCGATGCACAAAGAGCAAACTCTGAGCGGTCGTTCACCTTCGACAATCGCGGCGTGCAAGGATCTGCGCAAGCATAACAAGCACGAGGCAATGGCGTCAATTCAAAGCAAGTTTCTTTCGTCATCAAAACTTAGAATGACCACGCTCTTCGACGGGAAGGACTTCCATACCTGAAGCTTCGAATTCGAGCTCCTGGCACGAAGCACACCAATCTGGATGTACTACACGGCTCATTACCGTTCCCAGTCAACGGCTCACCTGAAGAGAAGACTCAGTATTACAACAAGTCGCTACTTGCCTTCACCATCCTCATACGGAATCTGACGCCCGAGGAGCAGCTCAGCATCCGCTCCTTCAAGAACGAGTGGGCGCCCGCGCAACGGTCTTGGGAACACCTGCGCAGCTGCTACATGGCAACTGCTTTAGTAACACTCAGTCGCCTGCTGAATCAACTGAAGAACATGAGAATGGTTCCCAGAGAAAAAGCCGGACCATACATGAACCGTTGCAGAAACCTGAGAGATCAGTTCAAGAAAAGCGACGGCCACTTCCCAGACGACATGTTCGTCACCATCATCCTTGCCCGGTTGAGTCCGGAATGGCACCACTGCAAGTCGCTTCTCCGCACCCAAGGAACACTCAGCGGAACTTCGCTCTGCGCCTCGCTCCTCGCCGAGCAACAGGAGATTGACCTGTACAATGAAAGAGGCAACAAGGAAAAGATCACGTTTTATGCAAACGCAGAAGCACCACATGACAAGAAGCGGCTCTTCTGCAAGTACTGCAAGAAGACAGTACACACGATCAAGGAAAGCTAGAAGTTGAATGGTAACAATCCTGGTCAAGGGCAACAAGGACGAGCGGCTTACCAGCAACCCGCATGAGCTCTTGTGCGCAACCAGACAGCGACTATGAAAACGATCACGACATGGATCATCACCTAACTCCGAAGCTGGCAAATCTCGCTAAGGCAAAGAAGGACGTCAACAAGTGGTACCTGGACAGTTGCTGCGGACAGCACATGGTGGGATCCGTCAAGCAGATACATCCTCAACAGTGAAGATCACTTCAACGAAGTGGAGATCACCGTTGCCAACAACCAGACAATCTACGCGAGAAGTCGCGGGCAGATCCAACTAGAGTCGAATGACACGGGCTACTGCCTCCACACCAGCGACGTACTCGTTGTGCCGGAGCTCCAGTTCAACCTTCTGTCAGCCGTCCAGCTGATGAAGTGCGGCGTTGTCCTGCAATCATCCGGGAACGAATTTCATTATACGGAGGAAACCTTCTCGGAAGAGCAAAGAACGAGAATGGGGTATTTGTGCTCGACTTCGACTCACCCAAGACTTTAGGCGACAAGGACCATATTATCGCCCTGAGGAGACGGACTACCAGCGACCAGGCCTCAACAGAACCTTCCGCGCACTCGCCGTACCCGTCGCTTCAACCACGAACCCTGCAGACACTGGACCACAGGCAGTGGAAGAAGGAGAATAAATCAGTTCAAGAGCAGAAGACACAGGAGCAGGAGAGGGCACCATTGGAAGATGGGCACAAGCGACGTGGCCCAGTATTCCACAACCCACCGGCTGAAATCCTACCTAAGGCTGGGACGCGGTGGACGTCAGATAGATCACACGCAACACTGAACTGGGAGAAGCTGTTGAAGCTGAAACAGGATGGGGCAACGTCGCCGAAGAAGCTGCAAGAACAGAAGAAGTACCGGAGGTCACACAGGAGGCACCAGAAAAAGAGGAGGAAGAATCGCTTACAGAATATGGACCTCACCTTATCCCCATCACAACCGATGGGAGGGATTACCTCCGCGTCGAGACAAGGGGAGCAGTGATTGGTGACAGCGACTTCGAGGAGGGAGAAGTCACGCAACAAGAAAATCGCCGCCCGAGAATCTCGGCGAAACCTCCTGAAGGACCACTGGAGTTTCCGATGACGATTGACACCACCACCATCGGTGACACCAGCGAATCATATCACGGACCAAGACTTGAGACAGAGAAGGAGAAGGAGCGAGAGAAGGAGCAAGAGAAGGAGAGAAGGAGCAACAGAAGGAGCTCTACGCATGCACACGGGTATATCGTGCTCCCGACGTCTGGCACAAACGTCTTGCGCACCCATTGGTCGAAGTGCTCGTACCAGAGGCCAGAGCCGAGGAGGGCGAAGGCGGCTACGCGCAAGGTGGTCGTACGGTACATGCACCGTGGGCAGTTGACGCCGGAGGTATGGCGTGCGCAAGGGGCTTAATTTTTTATTTGAAGTGTGCCGCGTCTGTGGGTAGTTTACATGCAGCGTGCCCATGGGCCTTGTATTCGCATACCGCTCTTCCGTTGGTGACCTGCTCTTCATGTTTGCTGCTTTGTACACAGGTGTTCACGGAGTTTGTGGAGACGGTGAATGGTGTGCACTTTAGCCGTGATCGCAACACCCTCATACTCACTATCTACCCGGCGCATCGCATCACAGGCGCGGTCAAGCGGCCCGTCACGGAGCACGGCTTCAGTGTGCAGCACCTCACTAACACCAGAATCGTCAACATACGTGGATCGGTACCTGAGACGGGCCTGCCGCACCTGCAGGGCGTGGGGGACTCGCTGAAGGCGTATTACCGCGTGATGCTGATGAGGCACGCAATAGCGTCCCGAAGGTTCCAGTTCGACTATTCGGCGTGCATTATTGATGTCGATTATGCCGACATGCTCGAGTGGCTGGGAGAATCGTGGACGCGTGTGCGAGCGGCAACCATGCAGAGGAGCTGGTGGCGCGCCGGATGCGTGCCATCGAGCTGGCCGCCACTGATGGCGTACCTGGACGACACGTGCGCAACAGGCATGTTTGAGCCGCTTATTGCGATTTGCGTCGATCTGCAGTTGCTCATCGAGAAGTTCAAGGTGAGGCCTGCTTGGTATATGACGGCGGCGGAGTTTATCAACTGCGACGCGGGCCTCTGTGTGGAGCAGGGGTTCATAGCCACACCAGCTGCGAGCGCGTCGTCGGACTCGTCGGGCGAGATGAGCCTGCCCGATGGCCCATTGCTGCAGGACGAGCGCAGCAGGCGGCGCGTGATTCGCAACGTAACAAATGCGTACGTGGAGCGTGCCGATGAGCTCGGTATTCCCCCGGCCGCGGTCCCAGCAGAGGTCGGCGCATCAAACCAGGAGGTGATATCCCGCTTGTGCAGGACGCCAGTCAAGCGTGCACGCGCGGGTGTGCGAGCTCTGGACTGGGCAAACACAGAGGAGCACGACAGTGATGAGGACGAGTGAAGCGAGTTTTGGTGGTGGGGCGCCGTAGTGGGACTTTGTGTGTGCAGTCGCGTACGCCATGGGTACGCAGATGGTTATAATGGTGATGTAGTAGTGGTTGTGTTTTAATCGATCGTATTTGTTGAGTTGGTAGAATATATATGGCTGATGCGTATAAGTGTCTATTGTGTTTGGAGTTAGATGTTATACAGTGACGGAATTAACGAACCGCCAGAAATAAAACGCGGATGTTGGTGGGATGGAATGTGGAGTCGCATGTGCGAGTCGAGATGTAGGTGTGCGCGACTGGTTTCCTGTAGGGTTGCGGAATAGTGACTGCGAGGTTACTCAAAATCGTATGATGACGATGCGCGGTGCGGATGTCTAAAATGTTGCGATTTGTGTGCGGTGTTTTCCAGCAGCTTTCCGCAACTTTCACGCAAGGCACACGCAGAAAAACCTTTGGAGGCCCAAACTCGCAACTTCCCTTTTTCGCGATGAAGGAGCAGGGGGGGGGGAAATGAGAGGAGGAAGAGCAAAAAATGGGAGGGAGAGAAAGGGGAAATGGGTAGGAGTAGTGGGGGAAAAGAGAGAGGGAGGGGGGGAAATGAGGGAAGAGGGAGGGGAAATGAGGGGTCAGGGGAAGGAGGTTGGACGACGGGCTCCCCGCATTCATGGCGGCGCCCATTCAACTGTGGCAAGCAGCGCGTGAGGCGAACGCCTCGCGGAGCGCAGCATTTGAGGCGAATTCGACATTCGCCCAGAGAAGCGAGAAGTAGGTGAGGCCAGCAGAGGGCGAGCTATGGGTTACACGATAAGCACTCGCCTGCGCTAAAGCTTGAGAGGAATCGCAGTGGGTGAGGCGCTATGCGGTGAGGCGCTCGCTTAGCAGTCGCGCGCTTAGCGGTGAGGCGCTTAGCGGTCGCGCGCTTAGCGGTTAGGCGCTAAGCGGTGGGGTGCGAAGCGGGTGCGCAGGGGGGCATTAGGCGAGACGTGGGTGACGCGCTAAGAAAGTGTCGCGAGCTGCGGGTTCGGCGATCGAGCTGCGGGTTCCGCGAGAATATCGCCGGCGAGGGGAATGCATGGAATGCGGCGCGCCTCTCCGAAGGCTATTCCTACATCTATCGAGAGGCCTATGAACGAGTCTATTCATGAAAGAGTAAGGTGTTTGTAGAAATGCTTACTCAATAATCTCACGAGCCAGCCTTGTGACACGTGTCCCCTTACCACCGACATTCTTTTTAGTGGTAGCGCTGATCCTCGCCCCCCCTAGTCGGCTTTTATATACTTGTATGAAGGCCTTTCCTAGACATTAGTCGCTTTTCCTTTAGTTCTGAGTGTCACTCCAGGGGCTGGGTGACGGTGTCAGAGGTCCACTAGAGATCCCCGATTGTGTCAGAATACTAGGCAAGACTCAGAAACAGCAAAGAAGGAGGGTTTTCACTAGCAGGCAGTTGAGTACATATAGCAAACCCTAATTTGGGCTATACTCGCTATAGAGTACCCCACTGCAGGCTAGACAAACATCACATTTTGACACACCCCCATAGTCAAAGTGGGGTATAATCAGCACAGCAAGCAGGCAGAGCAGTAGGTTCACAAATACAAGCAAAGCTAGAGGCTATCACAGAGGGCAAGTGAGGAGGAGGAGAAACTGCGGGGGCGAGAAGATGGGAGGCGACGGCTGAAGCTGCAGACACACGGGCAACAGGAGTGCGCAGCACTGTCGCTACCAGGCTAAACCCGGACTACACGGCGACAGGCGCAGCTGGCTCGCTGTGCTCCCAGGAGTGCTCACACTGTGGCTACCGGGCGCAGAGCCCCGGACTACACGGCCACAGGGGGTCGTGGCTCTCTGGACTACCAGGAGTGCTCACACTGTGGCTACCGGGCGCAGAGCCCCGGACTACCAGGAGGGTCGACCTGCTCTGATAGCATGTCAGAACTCTAGGCAAGAATCAGAAACAGCAAAGAAGGAGGGTTTTCACTAGCAGGAAGTTGAGTACATATAGCAAACCCTAATTCGGGCTGTACTCGCTATAGAGTACCCCACTGCAGGCTAGACAAACATCACATTCTGACAGATTGATCTTAGGGAAGGGTTACAGGCACGTCGGCCTGGGGGGTTATGGGCGCACTCACTCGCTACACAAACAAGCCCTTTTATCCCAGTGGTTAGTGGTTGGGATTCTGACATGTTATCAGAGCGAAGGTCTCGGGTTCGAATCCCGGTGTGTGCACCTCGGGCATCCCAGTATGGGGGGGTGTCAGAGGTCCACTGGAGATCCCCGATTGATCCTAGGGAAGGGTTACAGGCACATCGGCCTGGGGGGTTATGGGCGCACTCACCCACTACACAAACAAGCCCTTTTATCCTAGTGGTTAGTGGCTGGGATTCTGACAGACGGGAGAGTTTCTTGTGTTCGCAACTAAAAGCCTTCAAAATTTTCGCCGATCCTCTCGCCAAGCCCATTCATTTTTGTTGGGGTTTTCTCTTGGTGGGTACTGTTCCAAAACCAACAGTACTTTCAAATGAATACTGTTGCTTTAAGTGCAATCCTTGCTCGTTCGTTCAGTTGCATTGCAACATAAAGTCAATCTTGCTGTCTTTTAGCCAAATATGGTATATGGATATTTATGCTTGTACCAGAGAGTGCCAGACTGAACTGTACAATTTGAAAGTCAACCTGAATATTCGAGCCTGGAGATGTGATTGGCTGCAGCATCCAAGTCATCAATGCTGCTGCTGGCAGCATTAGCGGCCCGACTAGAAACGCTGTTCCTGGTTGCTCGCTGCTTTCTTGTACAACCTGTGCTTGGAAAAAAGGTTTTTCTGCAGGTCTGCTTGTTTGTGAAACAGTCACACAACAGCAACAGCTCCTCCAAAGGGCGTTTCGCTCTCCGCAACAGCTTTCTGGAAAGCCGCCCCTTCGTTCATTGAGAGGACCTGTGCGTGTAGTTGTCTCAAAACCCACTTCCATTTGTTCTTAGGAACATGTATAAAAGCTCTCGGCATTCGGCGTGATCGCGAAACCTAATTTCCATCCAGCGAACTTACTCATTACTTTAACGTTTCCGTGAACAAACCTGTGCCTCGTTCGCTATCAACTTTCGGATGCGCAGCAGTAGGATTCTGACTGATTCATCGTTCTCCCTCTCTCTTCCATCCTGGATAGAGTTTCTCATACCTTCGTTAGAGCGGCGTAAAATGACCATCCTTATTGTCGTTCGTACGACTCCCTAACTCGAGCAGGTGTAAGTTGATCAGTTTACTGTAGCTCATGATTCCCATTTCCCTTAGAAGTGTGGCTTCGCCGGATCTTTTGTCGTTTTGCAGGTGGTGCATAGCGCCTTTCAGACCTTTCACTAGCCTTGACCCTAAACCAGGTAGTAGATTCAGTCTTGTCCAAACAGCCAACAAGCTCTGACGGAACACATTTTGTAGGTACACTAGCCTTCTGCGGGGATAGTCAAGGGGAAAGGAGGAGTCGCGTAAACTAGCGAAGAACTTTAGCAGTTTTGTTCAAGTGACGATGGGTTTTGGCAGCAAAGAAAGCGACGAGCAGAAGTCTCTCTTGCGAGCTTGCACGTCGGAGCTTAAGGCCGAGGATCAGATCACCGCGGAGCGGAATACCTGCGACGCGCTCGGCCTCCTTCATCCGGACGGTCCTCGCTTCCACGCCTGGAACGTGTATGTGTATTTGTTTTCCTTTGAAAGCGAAGATTTTCCTTCGGAATCACCAGTGATTGTGCCGCAATCTTTCGTCACCAGTGATTTACTGAGCCTGTTTCTTGCTCTAATCATGTGTTCGCCTTCTGCCAGGCTGTATCATCTTCACTCTCCATTCTACTCGACGATCGTCTCGCTTCTCTCTCGGCAGGCTCACTCACACGCTCGTCATGTGGTCGTCGTTCTGGGTGACCCTGGAGTGTTTTTGAGACGTCTCAAAAACGCTCTTTTATCACGTGGCTCGTCTCGCTTCTCTCCTCTCCCGGCAGGCTCATTCACACGCTCGTCATGTGGTCGTCATTCTGGGTGACCCTGGAGTTCGCTTTCATTCCGAACCCTTCCCCGGGGATTCTCTACTTCGACAGCGCCGTGTGTCTCGTCTTTATCTCCAATATCGGCGTCACCTTCAAAGCGGCCTTCCGCTCCAGCAAAACCCTTCGCCTCGTGACGTCGAAGAAGGCGATCGCGACGCGGTACGCTTGACTTATTCCCGTCTTTTACGCTAAAGCCTCGACTCTTCCTTATCGCCGACGCATTGGTTTCTACCGCACTCGGTTAACTTCATTCATGATGAACTATTTTGCTCCGTTCCCTGTGTCTGGTGTCGCCAAATGACCGACAAAACGCTCGCGATTGCTTCAGATACGCGAAAGGCGGACTTCTCTTCGACGTCTTGTCGTCCATTCCGCTAAACATGTTTTATTTCTGGGCTACCGGCCAGCCCGCTTCCGGAGCCCTTGGCTACGTCTTTCGGGGTCTTCCTTGCCTGCGCCTGTACCGTATCGCCCACTTCTACAGCGATCTGTCCGCGTGAGTCTCCGCCGAATGGACACCTTTCGCTGCGCTGTACACGGACCATCCTGTAGACCGCCTTGCGCCGAATCGGACTAAACGCCTCTTTGTTGTGCCCTCGCGCGTGTTCGGATTCCGTGGTCACGCTGCCGTCTACATGTAACGCATCGCCTGCCTACCCTGCCGTCTTCCACTCCCAACTCAAACTCTTCAAAGGTTGTTTCGTGGCTCTTGTCGTCTGTTGCTACGCAGGGTTGGAATGACCGGCCCCTCGGTGTATTTCAGCATTCGCATTTTCAAGCTCGTGCTGGTGTGTGGCACGGACGTTGGAGTCATCTCTTTCTATTGCTCGCCCTATCGCCTTCTCCTCCCCATTCCCCTGCACAGCCCTCGTCCCACACCTCCCCCCATTGTCTCTCTTCCTCTCTCCTTCCGTCGCCTCTTTCCCATATCGCTCTGCGCCCCGCTCTCCAAACTTCGTCGTTCGCACAGCATCTCTCCTCCGCATGATTGCGCGCGCGCAGAACATCCCCCTGGCGTTGCGCGCACAGCATCGTCTGGGATCTCAACATCTTTCAATCTGCCTCTCTCCTGCGTGCATGCACCCCCTCCGCATGATTGCGCGCGCGCAGAACATCCTCCTGGCGTCTCACTTCTTCGCCGTGGCCTACTTCTTCCTCACCCTCATGGAGCCCGACCCTGCAAACACCTGGATCGGCCAAGGCATTGGCCCGGACTGGCCTGAGCAGGTAACTCTCACTCGTTGACTCACCCTCATGCGCTCAAACTTTATTTCTGCCCGACGTTGACAATGGAGCTTCTTTGTTTTTTCTTGACCCTGCTCTCGCTTCCTTGCTCGTCGTTTATGCAAGCGCCTGGGTGCTGACTCGTAACCCATCAACCCGCCTTTCCCCTCTTCCCCCTCTCCTTTCCCCGCGCGAAGTGGCGGTTAGGTGGTGTTCCGTTTTGTCAATATGTTGTTGTTCCTCCCCTCCTCTCTTCCTCGTTCTTGACTAAACAGTCCGTGTTTCTTCAATACGTGGCGGCCCTGTGGTGGTCCATCTTCGTCATCACCAGCATCGGCCCCGCCTACACTTCCGTCACCACAGCTGAGCAGATCTTCAGCTGCTTCTATGCTCTCTTCGGCATGGCAACTGTATGTTCCGTTACAATGTTGCTGACTCAATAGAGGTGACTTTCGTGTCGACTCAAAAGTCACTTATGTCACCACAACTGAGCAGATCTTCAGCTGCTTCTACGCGCTCTTCGGCATGGCAACTGTGGGCTCTTGCATCTGCCACGGCCATTCATGCATAGTTTTTCATTCTCACGCATAATATGTCTGCGTTTTGCCTACCTGTTTTTACGATTCATTGATTACCACAGGCCTCTGCTTTGCACAGAGCTCCTCTGCTTTGCACAGAGCTCCTCTGCTTTGCACAGAGCTCCTCTGCTTTGCACAGAGCTCCTCTGCTTTGCACAGAGCTCCTCTGCTTTGCACAGAGCTCCTCTGCTTTGCACAGAGCTCCTCTGCTTTGCACAGAGCTCCTCTGCTTTGCACAGAGCTCCTCTGCTTTGCACAGAGCTCCTCTGCTTTGCACAGAGCTCCTCTGCTTTGCACAGAGCTCCTCTGCTTTGCACAGAGCTCCTCTGCTTTGCACAGAGCTCCTCTGCTTTGCACAGAGCTCCTCTGCTTTGCACAGAGCTCCTCTGCTTTGCACAGAGCTCCTCTGCTTTGCACAGAGCTCCTCTGCTTTGCACAGAGCTCCTCTGCTTTGCACAGAGCTCCTCTGCTTTGCACAGAGCTCCTCTGTTTTGCACAGAGCTCCTCTGCTTTGCACAGAGCTCCTCTGCTTTGCACAGAGCTCCTCTGCTTTGCACAGAGCTCCTCTGCTTTGCACAGAGCTCCTCTGCTTTGCACAGAGCTCCTCTGCTTTGCACAGAGCTCCTCTGCTTTGCACAGAGCTCCTCTGCTTTGCACAGAGCTCCTCTGCTTTGCACAGAGCTCCTCTTCTTTGCACAGAGCTCCTCTGCTTTGCACAGAGCTCCTCTGCTTTGCCTGGTGTTGAACGACCTTCTGTGTTCGGTTACCCCTCTGTGTCTGTTACATGTTCGGTTACCCCTCTGTGTCTGTTACGTGTTCGGTTACCCCTCTGTGTCTGTTACATGTTCGGTTACCCCTCTGTGTCTGTTACGTGTTCGGTTACCCCTCTGTGTCTGTTACGTATTCGGTTACCCCTCTGTGTCTGTTACGTGTTCGGTTACCCCTCTGTGTCTGTTACGTGTTCGGTTACCCCTCTGTGTCTGTTACGTGTTCGGTTACCCCTCTGTGTCTGTTACGTGTTCGGTTACCCCTCTGTGTCTGTTACGTGTTCGTTTACCCCTCTGTGTCTGTTACGTGTTCGGTTACCCCTCTGTGTCTGTTACGTGTTCGGTTACCCCTCTGTGTCTGTTACGTGTTCGGTTACCCCTCTGTGTCTGTTACGTGTTCGGTTACCCCTCTGTGTCTGTTACGTGTTCGGTTACCCCTCTGTGTCTGTTACGTGTTCGTTTATCCCTCTGTGTCTGTTACGTGTTCGGTTACCCCTCTGTGTCTGTTACGTGTTCGGTTACCCCTCTGTGTCTGTTACGTGTTCGGTTACCCCTCTGTGTCTGTTACGTGTTCGGTTACCCCTCTGTGTCTGTTACGTGTGTGAGCAGCTTGCGTACACACTGGGCACGTTGACTCTACTGTTGGTCAAGCAATCCAGCAAAACCATGGAATATGTAGGTCACCCTCCTCTTTTCCCCGTCCCTCTCTCCCTTAACATCTTCTATGCTCATATCTGCTTGATGCTCATATCTGCTTGATGCTCAGATCTGCTTGATGCTCATATCTGCTTGATGCTCATATCTGCTTGATGCTCATATCTGCTTGATGCTCATATCTGTTTGATGTTCATGTCCTACAATGCTATATTCTTCCTGTCGTACCCTCTGGCCCTCCGCTCAGTTCGTTTCTGTGGCCTGCCACACTGACTTCCTGTTCTTGTGATCCATTCCTGCCGCTCCCCACTTACAGCACGAGGACATGGCGGCGCTCAAGGCCTACGTCGCCCGTACCAACCTGCCGGCGGACGTGGAGCGGCAGCTGAAGCAGCAGCTGCGCGTGCAGCTGCAAATGCACAAGTCCGACGCCTCCTCCTTCCTCTCCAGCATCCCCCACCACCTGCGAGTCACCGTCTCCCGCCAGCTCTACCTCCCCATCGTCGAAAACCTTGACGGATTCCGCCTCTGCTCCAAGGCCTTCCTTAAGCAGCTGGTGGGTTCCCAGGAGGTTCTGTTCTGATTCCTTACAGAGCAGTTTTAAGGCGCCTCAAACCTAGTCTCCCGCCAGGTCTACTTTCCCATTGTTGAGAACCTTGAAGGCTTCCGCCTCTGCTCCTAGTCCTTCCTTAATCAGCTGATGGGTTCACTCCGCAGCCTTCCGATAGTTTGGTTGCCCGTTGTTGTCTCTGTGTCACTTTGTTTTTCTCTCCTGCACGCCATGAGGTTTCACAGCTCGATTGCAGACGGTGATTCAACTCCCTGTTCTTCCTGTTCTTCCTGTTCTTCCTGTTCTTCCTGTTCTTCCTGTTCTTCCTGTTCTATCTGTTTTTCCTGTTCTTTTTGTTTTTCCTGTTCTGCGGAACCCACCACCAGGCATCAGAGATGAACGTGGAAACGGTCATGCGCAATGACGTTGTGACATTGGAGGGTGATGTGTCAACCCATCTCTACATTGTGCTCTCTGGCAAGCTCGTTCGTGAGGACGGACCTGCAGCAGCCCTCCAGAGCGGGGTGAGTTCTGAGACGTCTCAAAACGGCGCCAGCAGTCCTCAAAAGGGGGGTGGATTTCCTCCAACCTTTTTGTCCTCAGAGCGGAGTGGGTCTCTCGTTTTTGTCCTCCTTCCTGACAGTGGGGAAACTGTTTGGCAAGACAGTCATGATGTGCAACGTGTCACAGCTCTTCCGCTTCCTAAGGGGAAATGGTTTCTTAACCCTCCGTTTACCCTGTTGTTTTTGCTGTGTCACTGTTGTCATGGCATCTCCTTGCAGTTCTCCTCCTTTCTGTCAGCAGGGTCGGTGTTCGGCAAGACGGCAGTGATGTGTGACGTGCCGCAGCTCTTCACAGTGCGAGCGTTGGAGCACAGCCAGCTGCTGCGCCTCTCCAAGTCCGCCTTCTCCACCATCGCCAGAGCCTACCCTGCAGACTCCACCATCCTCTACTCCGCCCTCAAGCAGGTAACCCCGTGTGTGTAGTACACAGATCAGATGCGCTTCTGTCATGTTGATTCTGCATGGTCTAGTTATCTTATCCCTTGCCGTGAGTATAGCCGCCAAGACTCGCTTGGGTTCGGTAGACTACCTGCCTGATTTCCATGAAATGACCGTTTTTGGCCCTTTTTGCTGCAGTATTTTCCATGGCAGTTTTCATTAGACATGCTCGGAGCCATGTCACAAGACTTGTCGCATAAAGTGCTCTTCTTCTGTCCCACACTTCCTCCCGGCAGAAAATCGACGGTGTGGATGTTCTCACACGCACGCCCTCGGAGATCGCAGTGTCGCAGGGCCTGGCCCGCTCACCGCCCTCATGGAAGGCCCTCGGCGCCACCCCCAAGGAGCCAGCTCAGGGCGATGGGGCTGCTGGCCAGGTGGTGCTGGAGTCTGTAGTTGTGGACAAAGGGGTTTCTGAGCAGGTAGAAAGGTGCGTGGTGGACCCAAGGTCTATTCACCTGTTGCGTGTGCTTGGTTGCTGGCCAGGTGGTGCTACAGTCTGTAACCGTGGACAAAGGGGATGTTGATCAGGTTGAAAGGTGTGTGTTTGAATTAATGTCTTTACTTTGGTCAGTCATGCATGCCCGCTTTTCAACTTTGGTCCTCGACCTCCTCACTGTGTTTTGAGACGTCTCAAAACACTACTTCAAACACGTGGCTTTTCGTCTTTGGTCCTCCACCTCCTCACTCTGCCTGCGGATGCGATTTCTTTCGCCGTCTTGAAGTGTTTTCTGCCCATGTCATCTTTTGAGTCGATTCTTTTTTGAGAATTCTCAAAACACTTCTGCCCATGTCATCATTTGAGTCGACTCAAAGTGACTTTTGAGACCATGGCACCTGCTTGGTGCTCTATTATTCTGCCCATGTCATCTTTTCCCATGCGTGGGGTACGATACGAGCTGCTGCTGCTTCTGGCCGCATGGGAGCTGCTTTTCTGCTGACACACTTCTGTGTAGCTTATGTATAGCACGCGCATGCAGCATCAGTTTTCTCTCCACAGGGTGTGTTCCGCTGCTGCCGCCGCTGGCCAAGTGGACCAGGTGTTTACTATTCAGACATTGTTGTGTTGCACGCCCATGCACTACTATTTTTGTATCCTGCCGGTGCTGCGTTTCCCCCCCTCACAGGGTGTGTTCCGCTGCTGCCTCGGGCCATGTGGACCAGCTGAACGAGTTGCTCTCAGCGGCACCATCCCTCGCCCACTGCCACGACTACAATGACCGCACCCCCCTGGTATTCATTCATTCCCACCATTAGTCACCCACAGCTACCAAACTACGTTCAAGCCCTAACCCATTCGCCCATTTGTGCTCCTTGTAAAGACTTGTTCATTTCTTCCTGCTGCAATGCTTCTTCAGGCTTCATCCACCTTTCGCCTCGCGGCGCCTGAGTTTTCGACTCGCCGTCACTATCTTACGGATTTACAACGTGGGAGGCTGGCTTCCAAACCTAAGCGCAGCGTGACTCAGTCTATATGAATTGCCTGAACCTAAACGCATCAACCTAAACTGAACCTAAACGCATCAATGCCCCTTTTTCCTGCGTGTCGTGAGTGCAGCACGTGGCAGCCGCCCACGGCCATGTCAGCTGCATTAATGCCATTCTGCAGCGCAATGGAGTCGATGTGAATGTGCTTGGTGAGTGTCCCCCAGTCCCCATGAGGCACCATTTCCAACTACCGGTAGATGTTTCCTCTCAACTGGGTATCCGCTTCCTCTTGCACAAGCATAGTCGCTTCCACTCTTGAGGCGCCCCAAAAGTAGACGGCTCAAAAGTAGACGGCTCAAAAGTAGACGGCTCAAAAGTAGACGGCTCAAAAGGAGACGGCTCAAAAGGAGACGGCTCAAAAGGAGACGGCTCAAAAGGAGACGGCTCAAAAGGAGACGGCTCAAAAGGAGACGGCTCAAAAGGAGACGGCTCAAAAGGAGACGGCTCAAAAGGAGACGGCTCAAAAGGAGACGGCTCAAAAGGAGACGGCTCAAAAGGAGACGGCTCAAAAGGAGACGGCTCAAAAGGAGACGGCTCAAAAGGAGACGGCTCAAAAGGAGACGGCTCAAAAGGAGACGGCTCAAAAGGAGACGGCTCAAAAGGAGACGGCTCAAAAGGAGACGGCTCAAAAGGAGACGGCTCAAAAGGAGACGGCTCAAAAGGAGACGGCTCAAAAGGAGACGGCTCAAAAGGAGACGGCTCAAAAGGAGACGGCTCAAAAGGAGACGGCTCAAAAGGAGACGGCTCAAAAGGAGACGGCTCAAAAGGAGACGGCTCAAAAGGAGACGGCTCAAAAGGAGACGGCTCAAAAGGAGACGGCTCAAAAGGAGACGGCTCAAAAGGAGACGGCTCAAAAGGAGACGGCTCAAAAGGAGACGGCTCAAAAGGAGACGGCTCAAAAGGAGACGGCTCAAAAGGAGACGGCTCAAAAGGAGACGGCTCAAAAGGAGACGGCTCAAAAGGAGACGGCTCAAAAGGAGACGGCTCAAAAGGAGACGGCTCAAAAGGAGACGGCTCAAAAGGAGACGGCTCAAAAGGAGACGGCTCAAAAGGAGACGGCTCAAAAGGAGACGGCTCAAAAGGAGACGGCTCAAAAGGAGACGGCTCAAAAGGAGACGGCTCAAAAGGAGACGGCTCAAAAGGAGACGGCTCAAAAGGAGACGGCTCAAAAGGAGACGGCTCAAAAGGAGACGGCTCAAAAGGAGACGGCTCAAAAGGAGACGGCTCAAAAGGAGACGGCTCAAAAGGAGACGGCTCAAAAGGAGACGGCTCAAAAGGAGACGGCTCAAAAGGAGACGGCTCAAAAGGAGACGGCTCAAAAGGAGACGGCTCAAAAGGAGACGGCTCAAAAGGAGACGGCTCAAAAGGAGACGGCTCAAAAGGAGACGGCTCAAAAGGAGACGGCTCAAAAGGAGACGGCTCAAAAGGAGACGGCTCAAAAGGAGACGGCTCAAAAGGAGACGGCTCAAAAGGAGACGGCTCAAAAGGAGACGGCTCAAAAGGAGACGGCTCAAAAGGAGACGGCTCAAAAGGAGACGGCTCAAAAGGAGACGGCTCAAAAGGAGACGGCTCAAAAGGAGACGGCTCAAAAGGAGACGGCTCAAAAGGAGACGGCTCAAAAGGAGACGGCTCAAAAGGAGACGGCTCAAAAGGAGACGGCTCAAAAGGAGACGGCTCAAAAGGAGACGGCTCAAAAGGAGACGGCTCAAAAGGAGACGGCTCAAAAGGAGACGGCTCAAAAGGAGACGGCTCAAAAGGAGACGGCTCAAAAGGAGACGGCTCAAAAGGAGACGGCTCAAAAGGAGACGGCTCAAAAGGAGACGGCTCAAAAGGAGACGGCTCAAAAGGAGACGGCTCAAAAGGAGACGGCTCAAAAGGAGACGGCTCAAAAGGAGACGGCTCAAAAGGAGACGGCTCAAAAGGAGACGGCTCAAAAGGAGACGGCTCAAAAGGAGACGGCTCAAAAGGAGACGGCTCAAAAGGAGACGGCTCAAAAGGAGACGGCTCAAAAGGAGACGGCTCAAAAGGAGACGGCTCAAAAGGAGACGGCTCAAAAGGAGACGGCTCAAAAGGAGACGGCTCAAAAGGAGACGGCTCAAAAGGAGACGGCTCAAAAGGAGACGGCTCAAAAGGAGACGGCTCAAAAGGAGACGGCTCAAAAGGAGACGGCTCAAAAGGAGACGGCTCAAAAGGAGACGGCTCAAAAGGAGACGGCTCAAAAGGAGACGGCTCAAAAGGAGACGGCTCAAAAGGAGACGGCTCAAAAGGAGACGGCTCAAAAGGAGACGGCTCAAAAGGAGACGGCTCAAAAGGAGACGGCTCAAAAGGAGACGGCTCAAAAGGAGACGGCTCAAAAGGAGACGGCTCAAAAGGAGACGGCTCAAAAGGAGACGGCTCAAAAGGAGACGGCTCAAAAGGAGACGGCTCAAAAGGAGACGGCTCAAAAGGAGACGGCTCAAAAGGAGACGGCTCAAAAGGAGACGGCTCAAAAGGAGACGGCTCAAAAGGAGACGGCTCAAAAGGAGACGGCTCAAAAGGAGACGGCTCAAAAGGAGACGGCTCAAAAGGAGACGGCTCAAAAGGAGACGGCTCAAAAGGAGACGGCTCAAAAGGAGACGGCTCAAAAGGAGACGGCTCAAAAGGAGACGGCTCAAAAGGAGACGGCTCAAAAGGAGACGGCTCAAAAGGAGACGGCTCAAAAGGAGACGGCTCAAAAGGAGACGGCTCAAAAGGAGACGGCTCAAAAGGAGACGGCTCAAAAGGAGACGGCTCAAAAGGAGACGGCTCAAAAGGAGACGGCTCAAAAGGAGACGGCTCAAAAGGAGACGGCTCAAAAGGAGACGGCTCAAAAGGAGACGGCTCAAAAGGAGACGGCTCAAAAGGAGACGGCTCAAAAGGAGACGGCTCAAAAGGAGACGGCTCAAAAGGAGACGGCTCAAAAGGAGACGGCTCAAAAGGAGACGGCTCAAAAGGAGACGGCTCAAAAGGAGACGGCTCAAAAGGAGACGGCTCAAAAGGAGACGGCTCAAAAGGAGACGGCTCAAAAGGAGACGGCTCAAAAGGAGACGGCTCAAAAGGAGACGGCTCAAAAGGAGACGGCTCAAAAGGAGACGGCTCAAAAGGAGACGGCTCAAAAGGAGACGGCTCAAAAGGAGACGGCTCAAAAGGAGACGGCTCAAAAGGAGACGGCTCAAAAGGAGACGGCTCAAAAGGAGACGGCTCAAAAGGAGACGGCTCAAAAGGAGACGGCTCAAAAGGAGACGGCTCAAAAGGAGACGGCTCAAAAGGAGACGGCTCAAAAGGAGACGGCTCAAAAGGAGACGGCTCAAAAGGAGACGGCTCAAAAGGAGACGGCTCAAAAGGAGACGGCTCAAAAGGAGACGGCTCAAAAGGAGACGGCTCAAAAGGAGACGGCTCAAAAGGAGACGGCTCAAAAGGAGACGGCTCAAAAGGAGACGGCTCAAAAGGAGACGGCTCAAAAGGAGACGGCTCAAAAGGAGACGGCTCAAAAGGAGACGGCTCAAAAGGAGACGGCTCAAAAGGAGACGGCTCAAAAGGAGACGGCTCAAAAGGAGACGGCTCAAAAGGAGACGGCTCAAAAGGAGACGGCTCAAAAGGAGACGGCTCAAAAGGAGACGGCTCAAAAGGAGACGGCTCAAAAGGAGACGGCTCAAAAGGAGACGGCTCAAAAGGAGACGGCTCAAAAGGAGACGGCTCAAAAGTAGACTCCAAACAAGCTGACTTTTGAGTCGACTCAAAAGTCAACTCCAAACACCCTTTCCAACTATGTTTCTTCTCTGAACTGGGTAATAGGAGGAGTAGTAGGGAGTGGACTCGTCAAAGACCACATCCCTGCTGCGGATTAGACGACCGGATGGGGGGTGGAGGAAAAGGTAGTCGGGGGAGGAGGGATTATGACCAAGGAAGATGCAAGGAAGGGTACAAGGGGCAAGCTTTCCCATGGAACGGGAGCGGTCAGAGGGGTGAATAAGGACATGTGCCTTAGAGCCCCAGACACGAAGTGATGAGGCATCAGGCTTGTCCTTCGTCCAAAGCTCAGTGGGGGTGATGGAGGGGAGAAGGGGGTGAGGGTAAAGGTTAGTAAGGAGGGCAGCATGAAGGAGGGCGTAGCCCCAAAGAGAAGGGGGGCAGGAGGCGTGGACAAGCAGACACCGGGCTGTTTTGGTGATCTCTCGAACACGACTCTCAGCCACACCATTCTGCTGTGGGGAGTGAGGGAGGGTGTAAGTCTGAAGGATGCCACGAGACTGACAATAGGAGGAGACTTGGTTGTTAAGGAACTCACCACCTCCATCAGAGTGAAGGCGGCGAACAGGGCGCCCAAAATGGGTGTTTGCCCGCTCGAGCCAGGCGATGATCGCAGCCGGGGCATCCGCCTTTGTCCGAAGAAGAGAGACGGACGAGTACCGACTGTGATCATCAACAAGCACGAGAAGGTAGCGATGGCCCTGGCGAGAAGGTCGCATCCATCGACTAAATAGATCATTGTCCTGCTACCACTTGTTGTACACACCCAATCGTTGATTCAGATGGTAGTGCGACGACCCCTCTCCCGGAGGCAGTAAAAGTTGAACTTTTATTCCCTGTGCCCGCCCTCTCCAACTCCCTCTCCCTCTCCCTCTCCTTTCCCACTTTAGATCGCAATGGCTCCACCCCTCTGCTGGAGGCTGTGAAGAACAGTCAGAGCAAGGCAGTAGAGGCACTGCAGGCAGCCGGTGCAGCTCTCCTCCTCAAGGACCCGGGGGCCACCCTCTGCCGCCTTGCTGCTGCTGCAGCTACAGAGGCCAGTAGCAGCAAGAGTGGTGGCAGCAATTTGCAGTATTTGGAGCGGCTGCTGGTGGCAGGAGCAGACGTGAATGCGCAGGACCATGCCGGCTGCACGGCTCTGCACGTTGCCTGCGCCAACAGAAGCATTGCTGTTGCAAAGGTATACCTTTCCCCAGCTTTTGGTGGCCCCAAAGTTGACACTCTGTAACACACACACACACACACACACACACACACACACACACACACACACACTCTGGCCTTTCTCCAAACCTTACTCGCCAACTTGTTTCAAGAAGCACCATTGTGAGCAAATCTCTTGTTCCATTCTCCTTCCCTCCCCTTCTCTCCCCTCCCCTCATCTCCTGTCAACCCCTCAGCTTCTAATGGCTAATGGTGCCAACCCCCACCTGGAGGACATGAGTGGCAACACTGCCTATGATCTGGCCAACACTGCAGGATCCCCTGACCTGCGGACCGTACTCGAGAACTGACTTTCTTCCCCTTGGCATTGTACTTGTTTGCCTCAGTGACTGAGTGCTGCTTAAGAGTGTGCAGTGCACCAGGCAAAGCCAGTGTCATTTTGAGCAATTAATAATGCTGTAGCGCAAGTGGTTACTGGTTTTAGTCTCTGTTCTACGTCCCTAGAGTTGTGTGGTGTGGTGTGTTCTTTGCCCCATACATTCCAAGATGTACCTGCTAGAATGTTGAAAAGGTGGAGAAATTTGGCTAATCATAAAGAGACTGCGGTAGATTTTGCACTAAAAGTAATCCCTACATATCTTGTACAGAAACCTTATTGCGAAAATACATATCTTATTGTACATATCTTATTTTGCGAAAATATTGGCAGAGTGCACATTGTAAACAGTGACAAATCAGCCTTGCAGAGAAACCATATTGTGGGAGGAACTGAGCAAAACGCAGTAAGGTCTCTCATTGATTTGGGCTCACACTATTTATGGTATTTTTCATGTTGTAGCAATTCAATTTGGGATGTTTTGGAATTTAATAATAGAATGCATATGACATCAAGAGAACGTGGGCATGTGGCTATGTGGGTGCAATCAGGCTACACACACACACACACACTACACCACACTACTCGGTCCTCGGATCAACCAGTCGCAGGAGTGTACCCTCCACTGACACTCCAGGGCCAAAAGCCAGGGCTAGAGTCCACTTGTCACCCTCCTTTTGGCGATTATCGCGGCGCACTTTATCGAGTACAAACATGATGGTGCATGATGCCATGTTTGCATACTCCCTCAGAATATCCCTGTAAATCGCACATCACACCGATTGGTAGCATGGCATAACCCATCAGAGCATTCAAACAAGAATAGTGAGTGTTGTACAACCAATTTTCTTGCACAAAGACACAAACAGTGAGTGTTGACTTGTAGTTGTTCACACGCACCTGCTGACTTGGACCTGCTTGGACTTGAGCCCGCATCCCCTCTGCGTCATGTCCACAATGGACTTGCCGCCCGGGTGCACGGCCCACAGCATGTCACTGTAGCTCAGATTGCCCACCAGGCTCCGCACAAAGGGGTTCACGTTGTTGCCCACCAGCTGCACGGTGGGATGGAACAGGAGGGCAGCGGGAGGGGGTTGATTGGGGGAGTTTTGAAGCAGCTCGTGGAGTTGCTCAGGCAAACCTACGAGGCTGCAAGGATAAGTTCATGTTTTCTACCCACCAGCCGCACAAAACAGAATGGTATCGGATGGGACAAGACAAAACCGGTGCCAACTAGTGGAACACCGGAAAGCACAAGTGCAGCTCTGTGACCAGGTGCAGGTGGGGATTGAAGCGGAGCTGCAGGTCTCACCTCGAAAGGTTGCTCAGGTCTCACCTCGGGGAGGTTCTTCTTGAGCCCCACGTCGAGCCCATGGCACACCACGTTGGCCGTGATCACATCCTCACTGTCCGGGATGTACGTGGTGCCGTGCCTATGCACCTCAAACACCGCCTTCTCGCCCTCCCTCGGCTTCGCACCCAGGATGAACGCTGAGAGGGAGTAGAGGGGTGGGAGAAGGGGAGAGGAGAGGCAGGAGATGTGGGCTGCCATCGTTGTGTTCGAGATGCATGCCCAAAAAAAAAAAAAAAAAAAAAAAAAAAGCGTACTGATCTGAAAAGAAATCGCTCAATGACCTGCTGACGAAACGTGATTGGGCTTCTGTGTCACTCACCGCCAGCGCCATCAGCAAAGATGCAGTCCACAATGATGTTGTTGATAAGGTTGTCGGGATTCAAGGACTGCGCGTTGACCGAGTTGACCTCCACTGCCACCACCAGCACGCGGTACGATGGGTCCCCCGCAGCGATCTCAGCGGCGGTGCGCAGCCCGATGACGCCCGCATGGCACCCCATGTAGCTCACATACAGATGCTTCGTGGACTGCGGGAGCCCCATCTGCTTGATCAGACACATGTCCAGCCCTGATTGGCCAACATGGTGGAGGTTTGGGAGGGGAGAGGGAAGTGAACAAATCGCCAACGAATCGTTAAAAAACCTAGTCCTAGGTGGGAGAAGACAGAGAGAACACGACACACACACCAAGGCAATGTCCGCCTTCTGATGATTCTCGTGAAATAGCAGGGAGAAACAAAGTCATACCAGGGCAGTGAATTCAGAGAGAATTAAGTCCAAAAAAAAGGAGAGAAACAATGCTCCAAGAAAAAAAAGGAGAGAACGAAAATAAGAATGTACCAGGGCAGTGAATGCCGGAGGTGGAGAAGGTGATGACATGCGTGATGTCCTTGCGGTCACCCCCCCAGTCGCTGATGGCCTTCTCACTGGCCGCCTTGCCCAGGGCGACAGCGGGCTCAAGCCAGAGCTTGAGGCGCGTGTCGAGGGAGGGCGAGCCGAAGGAGGCGATGGAGTCGTAGGTGTTGAAGATGTCGCTGTCGTGCACCAGGTGACGCGTCTTGATGCCACAGTTCTCAACTGGTTGGGAAAGGGAAGGAGGACAGCCCAAGAAAGAAAAAAAATCTTGTGACAGTGTTGAAAAGCCTTTTGTTGTGGACGAGAAAAAACAAGAAAGAAAACAGGCTGGAATCCTGTAATCTCCAATCCAATCCCCAATTGCCACTCACTGATTCGCTTGGACAGGTCCTCGGTCTTCTTATCCGGGAACGGCAGCGTCGTGACAAACTTCTCATGGAACTCCGCTTGGGTGACCTTCCTGTCCGGATTGGCCGTGCCAATGCCCAGGATATGCGCTAGTCCTGACGCATTCCCCCCCACAGGGACTGCGGGGCCGGAGTTGGTCTCGTTAACATTGAGGCTGGAGACGAAGGCGGAGACAGCGCTGGCGTCCTCGTTAGAAGGAGCAGCGTTAGTGAGCACCACAGGCGTGTCCATGTCGAGAAGGCCGGCCATGGCGAAGAGAGAGAGAGAGAGCTAAGAAACGAGAGGGAAAATGAGAGTCTGGAAGCGAGTGTTCGTAAACCGGGAACTTAGGACCTCGCGCCGTAAGGCGGCGAGTGGTGATCAAGGGCTAGGAGTAAGAGCTGGAACAGCAGAGACTTGTGGCAGAGATTTGTGGAGCGAAAGAGCGTAGCAGAGAGGCGGAACGCACTCTGAGAGCGGGAGTACTGACTATAAGCGCAGAAACTCCGAGAGACTAGAAGGCCTGAGAGATCGAAAAGCTGGAGTGTGATTGCTACCTCCAACGATGATCCTTCTTATAGGAAAATGCGAAATGCATTGATCAAGCAGGAAAACCTCTTCGATACTGACGTTAGCCCGTCGCTAAGGAGCCTCCTCAGGCACCATACCATGCCATCCATGCCATACCATGACGTGCCATTACATGGCATGCCATAACTGACATCAGACCAGTCTGTAGCATGCTAGTGGGACAAGGGACTCTCGTGTGCGACCAGTTCAATGCCTGGATGCGTCGCTCGGGTCGGGGTTCGTTCGCGAACAGTTGCATCATCGTTTCGCGCTTGGGCCTGAGACACCTCCAGCGCGTGCCTGCGTGCGGCGCTGTGCGACAGTGTTCGCTAAGAAAAAACACAAGCCCGAGGAGCTGTCCTGTCATCGAGAGAGTCGTGACGCGAAACAAATCGGTACGAAGAATCAGCCATCACTTCATGTTCTGGGAAGGCCTCGGACTCAGGAACGACATTCGCGTCTGCGGTTGACGAAACCGAGGCGGCGTGGTGACCAGGGGAGGAAGGATCCGTATTATCATATTTTATTTATCGTACAAAATGTCGTTATCGCGTCGTGCTAGCCGGTTTTCGTGACGGTATTGGAAGGATCGGAATGATTAGCCACGTGATTCGGACGGCCGTGGCTCTGCCGAGCAGCTGTCACTGCGCTCACTGTCGTCACTGCTGTCATTTCTGTCCTTGCTGTCATGGGGTTAGTCATTGGTGGTCATCGCCTGAAAAAGGCTAAAGCTAGCGGGACTCGCAATCACGTGGAGCGTGTGTCTGGACGCGACGTGATATGGAAGTGACAATGACAAGTACGGATTGGCGGATCGAGATTCGAGGTAAGTCCTGTCAAAATCGAGGCAAGGGGAACGGCAGACGGCATAGAACCGGTTGTGAGTTAGGACCGTCGTGCGACGCTGTCAAAAAGGGCTTTCCAAGACGGAGACCCTTAGCTGACGCTACGGAGCTATGGAACTAAGGAGAACAGTCGCATTTGTTCGCAATATCCATGGCTACTCACCAGCACCATTCCTGAGGCTGTCATGTGAATCTTGATGCTTCTGGGCTGAATGTGTCCCTCCGCTGATCTTCAGATCTGGTTCAGTACGTTGTGGCACGGTAAACAGCGGTGCCACAACGTACCCAGCGAAATTGTGGTGTGGTGAACGCGACATACCTTGAGCAGAATATGCGCGCCACCTGTGAGAGGTTAGGGAACGCGGCAACGCGATAAATCTCTCTAGAAAGCTCTTTGACACTCTGTGCCGTACCCCATCCCCTCAAATCCCAGTGAAAGAACCATCTTGCTTTGGGTTTCCCTGCTGAACTAGCGGTGCGTCAGTTTCCTTTTGTCAGAAAGTCGACCCTCCACACCACACAGCAAACCTGGTCTCCCTTCTGACACGCTGGAACTTTGATTACAAACCTGAGAGCGTGGTGTGGAGTCGCTTTACGAACCTGTCTGCCCTCAGCAAAAAGTGCGAGAGTTTTGCTCAATTCCGCGAAGTCGCGATATGTTTTTTTTTTGCTACGTGGCATGCCTTCGATCGCGGGAACCGCGATCTGTTTTAATGTCGCCACAAATTTCTAAGAGAAATCTAGTTCAGCTTTGTGGGTCACATGTACGACCCTGCCCGCGGGCAAAAATAAAACCCTTGTAGGAATGGCATGTGTTAGGGATGGATCAACCATAAACACCTAGGGGCAAGGTGTTTAGGGTTGATGCCTCCCTAACGCATGCCAGGTCCGAACGGGTTTTATTTTTGCCCGCGGGCAGAGCACTGCAAAACTTAACTAAAATTCTGTTGAACTTTGTGGTAACAATAAAACAGATCGCGGTTCACGCGATCGAAAGCATGCCACGTGGCAATAATAAAACGAACCTCGATTCCGCGAGATTGAGTAAAATTCTCAAAAAGTGCTTCCTTCCTCAACCAGTCCCGCAAAGCCACAATGGCGGTTCCTCCACATGGCCAGCGATAATAAATTTTCGGTTTCAGTAACCAGCATGTTCGCAATTCCTCGTGTGGCTGATGGATCAGAGAAATGTAAGAGTGCACCGCGAAACGGAGAACGGAAGGGTTGTCAAAGAGAATACTTGCTGGCGGTTCAGAGAGAACTACTGCGTTTCAAAACGTTTTACATGGATGATAAAATGGTTGCATGGGGTACCGAGAGATAACGGACTGTCAGATCACGAAGGGTTAGGGCTTGGGCGAAGTAAACCAAACAATTTCGCCGCATTTGAGCCTTTTGGTAACCACTTTCTGCCTTCACCCTCAGCAAATCTAGACGTTTCCATGGCTGCCTCTCTGATGTTGTCGCAGTTGTTTCTGTGACGAATACCAAATGCAGGTGTGGATCTTTGGTAAGGAGTCTTCTACTGGATAAGTATCCGTCCTTCGGCCTCTTCAAAGCTTTCAGTCTTTGTTGTAGGATCAGCACCGCTTTCCAGAACTCTTCGCGGTTTGCCAAAATGTACGTGCAAGAAGTGCGATCGCAGCCTCGTCATCGAGCAACAAGCGAAATAACGCCAGAAGATGACGCGGACAGCATACCTACCACGTCAGGTCATCCCGCAAGTAACGCAGCGGAGGTGAACGATGAGGATGATCGGGACGAGAACGGAGTTGGCTCGGGCGACGTTGCTCTTGACATGAAAATGAAGCCGACGCCGCCGCGGAAACGGAGTAAATTAGAGTCTGCAGCATGGCTGCTTACTTGCGTGGCGATTCTGGTTTTCGGAGATGGCAAGCGCCACTTCTTTCAGGCGGTACTGAAGGATCCTCGCGTGCACAAGTAAGCCGATGCTCTTCGTTTCTTGTTTCGTTTCAAATAGTAACATCCAAAAGCCGACACTAACCCGTCCGGTTTAATTTGCTCTATACCATGCGGATTACTCCGTTTCCACAATTGGATTCGCCTGACATTACGGTGGATACAGAAGCGCGCGCTTTACATGGAAAGTTGCAACCAAATTCCTGACACATCAGCTTTTCCTCATTACGCTGGCCTTGCAACCCCCACTTCTCTTCTCTACAATTCAGTCCATGGCAATTCCACTGCTCCCGTGTACTTCCTCCTCTCCTCTCGACTCCACCCTTCTCCCCTCTCTCTATGTGCTGCGTGTGCGGGCCACAGTCAACGTGGCGATCGCACCAACCCATGGGTGTGCTGTCAAGTCCGTGCATTCTCCTAATTCCTTCTCCTCCACACCCACTCCCCCTCGTCCCACCTTCAGGCAACCTTTCTTTGTGGCGTGTGTGTGCATCATCGTCAACGTGGCAGTCTGGCTCTACCTCACTGTTCTCATCCGCCTCGTCTTGAAAAACACCCGCCACTTTGAGCTCGCTGCTCCTGGAGCCAATGCAACCACAACTTTGCTTAGCTTCATGTCCTTCATTCTGTAAGTACTTGTTCCACCTTTATGGGGTTTAGGGTAATAGGTTTTTGGAGTCCACTAAGATGCTTTAGTGTGCACTTTTCCAGTCAGTAACAGCACGTAGGAGAGTACCAGCTTTGCCTCTTTCCACAGACCAGCTAGCCTCTTGTGTTCACCCTGATTCCATATTTTTGCATCCATAACCAATGTTTGTTCCAGTATTGTCATCAATATATCAACCATAGAAAGGGGTGGGAAAGGTGAACATTTCTACTAATTTTCTTCTTTTTTATTATGACGTCCCTTCCCCCCACAGATTTGCAATAGCATTATGGCCAGTCTTTGGCTTCTTCATCATCCCCATCCTGGTACGTGCTTCTACCCCCTCAGGTGATATTCCAACTGCAGTGTCAATTTATTCGTCTTCATATTTTTCCGTCGTTACAGGCTCTTGGCAAGATAGCTCCACATTAGAACCATATTTTGCTTTCCTGTCTCTGACTAACTCATCACTCCTCTGTCCACTTGTTACCGGTATTGTTGTTCCCTGAAATCCAGTGGGTATTCTTCATGACCTTAGTGGTCATCCTTTCAACCATTCCTCCTTACTCCCCTAAGTCTGCTGAAGACATGGAATAGTACCGGAGTAGGGTGCCATACCTGGGCATTACACCCACAAACAAACACCTTCAACGAAAGTTAGGGTGAAGACTGTATGTGTTGCACTGAAACAATGTGTTATCAGTCATGTCAAAATTCTCAACCTACGGTAAAAGAGTAGAACAGGATTTTCATTGCATCAGCCAGCTTACACATTAGGTATTGCAACAATGTCTGTGGTATCCAACCAGAATATGCTGCCATCCCTGAGGGCTTGCTACCATACAGCCTGCGTATCTACCATTGCGGACTTGATATCTGCATAGGATGTTTATGGTAAAAAGGTAGAGAGGGAAGGAGGATTAGCTGACAAGCACAGAGGCACAAGGGTTCAACCACTTACACAGGTGGGACCTCGCGACACTAAAATACAGACAGGTACGTAGACCCCATAGGAAAAAAGTTGCTGATTTAAGAAACTCAACACGCCCTTGATTTTCACGGGGTTACGTTTCACGTGTGCTGAAACAGTCTAACTTGACGGATATTTCCATTACCTCATGAATTATATGACTATGGAGAGCAAACGGGGCGACGGATGGTTTCAAAAATAACAAGGTTCCCCGATTGTGTCATACCTTGATTAATTACGATCCGACAATGATGTTGTTGATGGGGATGAAAATAAGTTTCACAAAAAAACCGATGAATCCCATAACCACGAACCCAATAGCTGTCCTGGAAGCCACCTTCGTAAACTCTGCACGCGTCATAGAGTATCGGAAACGCAAAAAAGGTGGAAATTTGAGACCTGATCAAGAAAGAGACGCTGACTTGGAATTAGCCGAAACGTAGCAAATTAGGTCACACGGATCCTAAACGTCGAAGGGAAAAGAGGACCCGATTGTCAGAAATTACGACGTGTCAGACGACTGCGAAGTAAATCCGATGATAGGGCAAAACAGACCTTTCCGATCTGGTTTATGACACCGCTTCACTAGTCTGATGCTATCCTTGGCGAAGTCCTGCACCGGCTTGACGACGTACTCAACAGCCTCCATTAGCCAAATCTAGAGAAGGATCTGTAGGAAGTCAGATCTCTTGATGGTGGCTCTGCCGATAAAGTTATGAAGTTACTGGAGGTATGGCTGCTGTGAGTGACTAGATCTCTAGGGATTGGGTGGGAAGAAGGAACGTTTTCGGGAATGGCCGTCAAAAACAGGTGAGATTTGCACGGCTGGATGAAAGGAAACCAACCAAGTTTCGTGATCTGCTCTAACAAATTTGTTATGTAGTATTCGCTGTCAGCGTTCCCGCTGCAATTATAAGCTCACAGAACCAGAGATTTTTGCCTCATCAGTACATCACAATTTTTATACAATTCTGAAACAGGTTGAATTGATTTGTTGGTTGGAACTGGGGGCTCTTTTGAACTCCTTGCTAATATGTTTAGCTTTCAGGTTATTGCTGGGTTTTTACTCTAAACACCACAAAATCTTGGCATGAACCAGCAACACATCCTACTTCGAAGAGCAGTCCCTTAAATTGACCTGATCTGATGGATCTGTATGCATGGTAAATTGAGCACACACAATACTTGTGCAGCTAATAACTACTGACCACAGACACTGCAAACATGTGTCCAATAGCTATTTTAGTAGCATTTGGTCTTAGGCCTTTGCCACAACAGGCTCCTCAGCATATTTGAGTGCACGAGTCGTTTCAAAGAAGTGCAAGACACTCTCCTCTGGTGTCCCCACCAACACACCGTGGCCCAGGTTGAGAATGTGGCCGCGAGGTCCCGCCTTGGCAACACAGCTGTGAGGGAGGTAGTGGGTGAATGAGAGGGGACGCATGCGTGGGTAACAAAATCAACTGATTGTGGCATATCTGTTGGAAGAGAAGGTAGTGTATCCCCACCAACACACCGTGCCCAGGTTGAGAATGTGACCGCCCGGACCTGCCTTGGGCACACAGCTGTCGGAGAGTGAATGAGAACGATGATATGGTGGGTACGAGGGGTGGAAAGAAAGATGGCAAATCTTTGGAAAAGTACAAAGCAACACCCCACCTAGGTCATGAACCAATCACACTGTACCCTCCGTTAGATGGCACAGTATACTCACTGATTGATGGCGTCAATGATGGCATCCTTGGAAGCAAACAGCACAGCAGGGTCCACGTTGCCCTGCACCGACAGCACTCACACTGTACCACGCCACTCACGATGCCATGGCACACTGGAACATTTTATTACAGAGAACTACTCACCGGTGGATGGCGTCAGTGATGGCATCCTTGGAAGCGAACAGCACAGCAGGGTCCACGTTCCCCTGCACCGACAGCCTCGGTTTCGCACTCCCCCCAGGACTCGCCCTCAGAGCGCCGTCAATCCTCGTCCGTGCATCGGCCATGTCAATGGTCCAGTCAACACCGATGACGTCAGCCCCAGTGGTGGCCATGCGCTCCATGAGGCCCCCACTGCCATTGGCATAGAGCACGACTGGCACCGTGGGGTGCTTCGCCTTCAGCTGGGAGATAACCTGGAGAATGGGGGACGATGATACGGGAGGGATGCAACAGGGGCTCTCATGGGTGAACCCCAGTCGTGGCAATCCGCTCCATGAGGTAGTCCCCTGCCGTTAGCATAGAGCACGACGGGTACTGTCGGGTGCTTTGCCTTCAGCTGGGAGATGACCTGGGGAATGAAGGGAGGAGAGAGGATGGTGGGAGTGTGGAGGAATGCATCAGTTGTCACGCCTGTGCATCAGTTGTCACGCCTGTGTTTCATGCGCCAACCGTCGCCACTGCTGCTGCCTACCAAGTGACGAGATGACTTGAAGAAACATTCGGCTCGATGGATTGAGTGACTCGTTTTGAAGGCAGGTGCCATGCGGTGCAAGCCTTCGCCCCATAGAGCTCAGCTCTGGCGCTCACCTGAATGATGTACGGCTTTGCCCACTCGTCCCACTAGTCCCACTGACCGCAGGTGATAGACACAACGATTCGCCCCACATGGCACACCACCAGCCTCTGTCACCTGAATGATGTATGGCATGGCCCACTCGTCCCGCAAGTCAGGGGTGACAGCTTTGCGCAACGCAAGGGTTTTGTCATCTAGTGCACCGTGGGCATGAATGCTCGCCTGAATGATGTAGGGCTTGGCCCACTCGTCCCACTGGTCGCAGGTGACACACACATCATTCGCCCCACATAGCACACCACCAGCCGAGCTCTCTCTCACCTGAATGATGTACGGCTTAGCCCACTCGTCCCACTGGTCGGGAGGAAGCTGGCCGCCCCACGAGTCAAACACCCGGATGCACTGCAATTGAGTGACCCGACGGCATGTATAGGCCCCTTTGCCCCATAGAGCATGGCTTTGGGTCTCACCTGAATGATGTAGGGCTTGGCCCACTCGTCCCACTGGTCGGGAGGCAGTTGCCCGCCCCACGAGTCAAACACCTGGATGCACTGTGCGCCGGCGTCCACTTGGAACGCGGCATATGTTGCGATCTCATTGGCCAGGTGCTGCAGCAGCGCACGCAGCACGTCCGGCGCGCTGTGGATCATGCCCTTGATCTTGGTGTAGGTGCGCGTGGTGCCGCCCTCCACACAGTAGGTTGCGAGAGTCCACGGCGCCCCCACAAAGCCCAGCAGCGCTGCTGTGCCCTCAATCTGCCAGGGATTGGGGGAATGGGGAAAGGAAAAGGGGCAAAGGCAAGTCAAGCGGGAGGAAGGGTGACGGCAAGGGGGAAAAGGGGGAGAGGGATGGAAGAGAGGCGCGTCTGGCGCGCTGTGGATCATGCCCTTGATCTTGGTGTAGGTGCGCGTGGTGTAGGTGCGCTGTGGATCATTTATGGCGTTATAGTTCCCCCTTTTCCCCTGCCTCAACGACTTATTCAACAAAATTTCTCCTATTCAGCTGCACTGGCGTCAACGCCTGAGAACCTCGTCTCTTCCCCAACCCTAACGCTCGTCCTCCCCCCTCCTCACCTTGCCTCGAACTTCCGACGCTATTTCCCCTTCCACAAGCTAAAACTTCCCCCCTCCCAGTTCCGCCCATGTCTGCCTCCCACGCACCTCTTTCCGGATTTGCCTCAGCGACTCATCAACGACGTGCAGCTTGTCCAGCTGCACGGGCGTCAACGCCTTGACCAACACCCAACCCTACCTTCCTCACGCTACCCCCACAACCCCCCCTCCCGTCCCCACCCTTTTACAGTTTCCTGCCAACGGTGCCTCCCACGCACCTCTTTCCGGATTTGCCTCAGCGACTCATCAACGAAGTGCAGCTTGTCCAGCTGCACGGGAGTCAGCGCCTTAAGCGCCTCCGTCGTCCTAATGGGGCTGTCTATAACGGGGCCCTTGTTCTCGTCGATCTCGAACGGAATCCCCATCGCCTCCAACGGCGTCAGGATGTCCGAGAACAGAATCACGCCGTCAGGTCGGAACGCGCGCCACGGCTGCAGGGTGATTTCGACGATAAGATCCGTCGTCTCGGAACGTTCGCGGAAAGAGGGGTGGTTCTTGGAGAGCTTCTGGTATGCAGCCATGTAGCGCCCCGCTTGGCGCATCATCCAGGCGGGGGGGCGCGGAATGGCCTCCCCGCGCGCTGCGCGCACCAACAGGGGCTCGTCCGCTGGAAAGGGGGAACGGGAGGGAGGGGATTCGTTGTGATGCCAAAGGAAAGGCCCTGGTGGAGGAAACATGCACACGCGGGTGCCGCGGAATGGTTTCTCGACGCGCAGCCCGCGCTAGTCTATCAAGGATCGACCCAGGTGAATGTTGGAATTGATCAGTTTCGTGTACCTCAGCCCTAGACGCACTGAAGGTTCTTTTCTTTACACTGTGGAAAAAAGCAAGGCGCAGCAACAACTGCGAGGGATTGGATTGCAAGAGGCATTGCCGGGAATGACTTCAGGGAAGAAGTACTTGAAAGCACATCCATCATTGTCGCTTACCTGACGCCCTGGGCTGCACGGCCTGCCTCTGCGAGGCATTGCAGGAGGCAAATTTGGGTCGTGCGGGTTCGGCACGAGGGTTATGTATGGAGCAATACTGATAGCAATCTCCCTCACCTGACGCCCTTGGCTGTACGGCCTGCCTCTGCGAGGCATTGCAGGATACGGATTTGGTCGTGCGGGTTCGGCAGGCAGCGCCATGGAGCTCGGAGCCTGCGAAGGACACGGCGGATTTCGCGCTGGTCGCCGTCGCTGGTGACCGGGATGATTGTGCGATGGTGCTGACGTGGCTCTGCACGCTGGTGGGACGAAGGTGTGGCGGGATCACAGAGACGGAAATACCACACGTTAGATACACTTTAAATGCTAATGCACATTATTGGCTTGTGCAAAAGTGATCGCTGTCTAGAAAATTGCACAATCTAGGTTTGAAATTTCTAGGAAGATCCAAGAATCTGGAAAATTCCAAGGATTATCAACACTACTGGGTGGGCTAGTGTCTAAATAACGACGGAAAGGAGGAGTCTGGACAGCGAAGTGGAGTTGACTAGAAGTTCTAGTTTTCGAGAATGATCACGAATGGTTAGACAGGATAAGGAGGAATATTATCGTTGCTTTCCTTGTATTTCCAGGTATTAGGCATCGCTGCACTAAACGCTGCGTTCGTACGGCCCTCAGACCAGTACCTTCCGTCGAACGAGCATCAACGCGCCCTTTGTGATATCACAGGAAACGCTCACGTTCTAAAGCACAGAAACGTACAGCTGAGAGGTGGATGTGGCGGCCATGTTTTCAACTGGAGTCCAATCAGAGGACCTCTTCAGCGATTAGCAAGCCCAATGCAGGCTTGCAATTCCTGTCACACGCGACGGGGCGCGAATACTCGAAACCGGCGTAGCTCCTGCACTAGTCAGAAGGAACCTTGGAAAAACCTCTCGGCTTCCTTTGAAGTGGCTTGTGGAAATTCCAGCTTCACCAGAAATCAGAGAAGTCCTTGGGGAGGAAACTCGAATTGGGATTTCCCTGATCGGCCAGCTAGGCGTACTGCTGATAAAATTCAGATTGACATTGCCGCGCCTAAAAACGCTGACTAGGAGTTTTGGCTCGGCTGGATGGGCCGTGCTGACGTAGTCAGCCGGCGCCTATTGGGCAATGCGATTCTCTGTACTTGAGGCCTAAAGCGTGTGGGGCTCCTCCAAATTCCAGGGATTCAGGACAGAAACCGAATTATGAATCTCGACTTATTGGTGGCTTCGCTATTTCTCCAGGTGTAGCTTCCACTGTACAAGACTCCTCCATGACAACGTCAATCAATGCTATGCACAAGCCTGGAAACACAAAGTAAAACCGGCGCATGCTCTTTGAGATCCACCAAGACCGCCGAAATCATATCCCTATATGTAGCAAACCATCTGGAACCAATGGTCTTCTACCACCCAGTCGCTGTGGTTCCTGTGAGCCCATGCCTGTGCCCTGGCCACTGAGACTGCTGCCTGCCTTGCACTTGCTCACCGGCCCTCTACCTTTTCATGCACCCAGCGCGTGCTGTCTAGGATCCACCAAAAACGCCGAAATCATATCGCTGAATGTAACAACTCCCATCGGGCACCCGTCGTGATCCACCACCCACACGCGGTGGTTCCTGTGAGCCAGTGCCTGCGCCATGGCTGCACATAAATTGCTGCTTGGCTTGCACTTGCTCACAGGCCTCATCCGGCCTCTCTTAGTGGATGGAGAAGCAGCAGAAGCAACACCAGCAATGTCAGACTTTGCTTCAACCTTCACTTGTTGCTCCTGTTGATCCTGCTGCTGCTTCTGCTGCACCAGTCTCAGCTGCTCGCCCCTCTCCCTGCTTTTCCAGTACCTCTCAGTGGCCGGCACGGCCAGCAGCAGATCCTGCACCGTCAGGCTGCGCAGATTCCGGGCGGCGAACTGCGCAGTGCAGCCGCGCAGATCCACGCTCGACAGCTGGCCCACCAGCTTGCCATGAGGGCAAGAGGCGGCAGCACTGGCAGGACTGGCAGCTGACGAGCCTTGAGTTGACTGGGTTGACTGGGTTGACTTTGAGGAAGAGGGGCTGGCGGGTGCAAGTGCAGGGTCCACCACTGCCAGTGCATTGACATCCCCTGGTGGGCAGCGAAACAAAGCAGAGAGATGAGGGAAAAGGGGAGGGAGGAGGGTCATACATAGCGAAGAGGGAGGGAGGAGCACGATGGCGAAGAGGGAGGGCGGAGGATCAATTGGAACATGTGCAAACAGAGATAGGCATGCATGGCATTGATAGGCATGCAATGGAACATGTGCAAACAGAGATAGGCATGCATGGCATTGATAGGCATGCAATGGAACATGTGCAAACAGAGATAGGCATGCATGGCATTGATAGGCATGCAATGGAACATGTGCAAACAGAGATAGGCATGCATGGCATTGATGTTCCTAGACACACACACAGTCCTAAAGAGTCATCCGCATCTAAAGCTACAGTGTGCCAACATAGCATGCATTGGGTAGGATTCACTTGGGAGGGTGTCATAACTAACCACCCCAACACACCAACTCACCAGCAGACGACTGCAGCAGCAACAGTGCCTCATACGCTTCGTCAGAAGAGCAAGAGAGAAGACCACCATAAGAAGATCTTTAACCCAGTAAGTTATTCACGTTAACTCACCAGCAGACGATTGCAGCAGCTGCAGAGCCTCGTACGCATTGTCAGAGCACTTGACTGTGACGATCCGGGGGTGAATGAGGCCTAAATCGAGGAGGCTTTTAGAGGGTACAGGCTCCAGCTGAGGCGCTCTGTCGAGCAGCCATCTGGCCACGTCTGTCTGAGTCAGCACGCAGAAATGCGGGCAGAAAAACTTTCGGGAGGGCATGCAGCTGCCCCCCGGGCAGCGGAAACAGGGGGAGGGGGAGGAGTGGTGGAAAGCGGTGGTAATGGAATGGATGGACGAGATGGCGTTGGTGGGAGTGGTGGGAAGGATTGCAGGAGTGGTAGGAGGGATGTTGTAATCAGCTGGAGTGGTGGTAGTTGGAGTGGTGGTAGTTGGAGTGGTGGTAGTTGGAGTGGTGGCATAGGTGGCAGGCGCGAGGGTAGACTGTGTGCCAATGGTTCTCCCCTCTTTCTCCTCTTCCCCCTCCCTACCCCCCTCCCTCGCTTCCTCCTGACCTTTATCCCTCTCCCCCTCCCCCTTGCCTCCCCTCTCCCCCTGTTCTGTCTCCTCCTCCTCTTCACTTGGAAACGAGCACGAGTAACGTGTGTTGCACTCCGAATAGCGTACAGTGCTCCCTGCTTGTGGCGTATACTGAGGCTGCTTGTAAGGGAACGCATCCGGAACCCCTTGCAGGTGCTCTAACGAGAGGGAGGTGGCGCTAGAAAGAGTGCTAGAAGCGAGGGGTTTGTGTGGGTGCTGAGAGGGGGTGGAGGAGAGAGAGAGAGGGGAGGTGGCGAGTGTGGTGGTGGTGGTGGAGGGAGTGAGGGAGTGGGAGGTGAAGGAGGGGTGGGAGAAGAGGGAGGAGGAGCTAGAAGTGAGAGAGTGGAGAGAGGAGGAGGATAACTGAGGGGGAGGAGCAGGGGTGTGGGTGGGGGGGGAGGAAGGAGGAGAAGAGGCCAGAGAGGAGGGAGGGGAGGGGCAAGAGGGAAAAAAATAGACAGGGAAGTGCGAGTGAGAGGGGAGTGACTGAGTGTGGAGTGAGTGCGATGGGAGTGATTGAGAACTGGGTGCTGCTGCAGGTGCAGTGCCTTGTGAGGAGAGAAGAGAGGGGAGAGAAGAGCTGGGGCGGGTATGTATGGGGACGATCAGCCGCTGCACTCCCTGCGCCATGGGTCGCATGATGGTGTTGATGCTGGGAGAGGGGAGAGGAGGATTGGGAAAGAGGAAAGACAATAACAAGGAAGACACAGAAAGAAGGGAGGGACAAATTCTGGTCGGGGAACGATTAGGCGCTGCACTCCCTGTGCCACGGGTCGCATGATGGTGTTGATGCTGGTAGGGGGACGGGAGGATTTGGGAAGAGAAGGAGCGACAGTAAAAGAAAAATTGAGAAACTCGAAGCGCTTCATTAATGGATTTCGAGAAACCCTACTAGAGTACGACCTTGGAAGCACACAAATAAGAGGAAGGGCAGCTTACGGCGCGTTGAGGTCAGTGAGCAGCAGCGACAGCCCTTCCTCGCTCGCCCTCACCAGCTGCCCCACTGGCGTCTCCAACTCACACATGCCACCCTCCCGCCATCCCCTCTCCCTCCCCGTCTCCTTGTCCCCCTCCCCCTCCCCCTCCCCCTCCCCCTCCCCCTCCTCTTCCCCCCGCGCCACGTGCAGCAGCAGGTCCACCATGGTGACAGTCCCAATGTACGCCTTATTAGCTGCAGCAGTAAGCGACAGCGCGTCAGAGTCGTCTGGCAGGGAGAGAATGGAACGAGCCAGGGAGCCGAGCGCCTGATGGAACAGTAAGAGAGGAGAGGGGAAGGAATAAATGGGGGGGACCGAGAAAGCAAAAATTAGGAACCTAATCTCGAGACTGTATCAAAAAAGCATGTACTTAACGGACAACCTGGCGGGGGGAACAGGAAAAACTAAACAGGGTCGATAGGGGGGACCATGCAGCCTAAACAAGGACCAAACGGGGGAAGCAGCCATGGCATGCTAGGCGCCGAGCGCGTGGGAGCGGGGGAAAGTATGTCGCTGCATTAGGGGAGGGGGGAAAAGGGGGTGGGGAGGGGAGGCAGGAGCGGGAGGAGGAAAAGGGGGTGGGGAGGGGAGGCAGCAGAGGAGGAGGAAAGGGGGGATGGGGAGGGGAGGCAGCGGTGGGGGAGGAATATAGGGAGGGAGATGCATACCGCAGCAGGAAGGGAGAGCAGGTGGGGGGGTAAGGCGGGGGAAAGAGTACGTGGTAGCTGCTACCAGGTTGTTGTTTAAGCAGGGAGAAGGAGGGAAACGAGGGCGGGAGAAGAGCGGGCGAGTAAGCGGGAGCTGCTACCAGGCCGTCCTCTACGCGAGAAAAAGGAGAGTTGAAAGCATAGCACAGCAGTGGGGGGGAGCAGGGAGGAGGGGGAGAAAGGAAGATCACACGGGGGCTGCTACCAGGTTGCCGTTTACGCGGGGAGAAGGAGAAGGGAACACATACCGCGGCAGCATGGGGAGAAGTCGAGTAAACGGGAGCTGCTACCAGGTCCTCTCGCACCAGAGCCTCGATCGCCTCTGTACACCCACGTTTCGATAAAAAGAACAACCGTCACGAACACCGACGGAGAAGGGTGGGGGGGGGGGGTGGGGGAACAGAGAAAAGATGTGAGGAGGGCAGACACGTCAGTGAGTCCTTGTTTTTCAGGCTTGACGCGTACAAGCGTCAAAAAGGTCTCAACGTTCCTATTAACGTTCCGCCTTACCGCCGACAGTCGCGGACTCAGGGAATTCGACGAGGCCAAGCTTGCTCCGCACGAGATCCGCTACCGTGTGCTCCGTAATAATCGCAGCCATCCCTCCGAGTCGGGTCCGTTCTCGCGAGATGCAACGCTAAGGGAGTTCGCGAGAGGCAGCGTCGGGAAAACAATATCCGCTGCGCGGCGCCCACGTCAGCGATAGCCAAAGAACAGTGTGCGGCAACAAGGTTCTCTACAACGCTCAAACGCGAGTCACCGAAGCGCGCTCTGCGCGACTGGGGGAAAAACCCGAAGCCTAGTTGAAAGGCTGGGCTAACGCGCACAACGAGGCGGCTGCTACTGCAGCGTATGCGGTGGCGGCGGGATGGTGGAGAGGATGGTGTGGGGGAGCTAAGTGGCGGCGGTAGGAGGGAAGTTGGCGAATGGGGTGAGGGAATGAATGGGGGTGTGCCATGAGACTTCAGGATGTAAGGTTGAGAGCGTTGTTTCTTGCTTCAAAACGGTTGGTTTAGCTAGCTGGAGGGTTGGTTGGGGTTACACGCTCACGACGACACGCTGACGGGGAAATGGCAGAAGCGGCTGGGCTCTGGTGGCTAGGGTACTCAAGTTTTAGGCGACTGCCCATCTGGTTTGGTTGGGTGGTTCTACTAAGATAATCCTAAAAGCAGGACAACCTTTTACAGCCTGATGTGGTCGAATCCTGTCAGCTCCCAGCACTTTCCACAATACGTTTAGATAAGTCCCAAGCGTAACTGTTGTCCTAACCTAATGAACGCTGGAACTCCGGTCAATCCCAGCTGCATGCAGATTTCGCTAGTGCGGGTTTGCGAATGTATACAATAGACGGTTTGGGGGAAAAATGTCGGCCAGACGGCAAAACCCTGGGGTTACCCGTGTTCAGGGTATAGGCTTCCCCAATCGCATGCCATCCCGAGGGGTTTTATTTTTTCATGGCCTCGGAAAGATAACGGTCCGTCAGCCTCTTTCATCCACGGCCGTCTATTGCTAGAATCTGCAAAATAGCACTGGCATAAGTTGAATGCCGTTGAAAATGGCCCCTGGAATTCCACGCAAACTCCATCCGTGCTGCATGGACGAGCGCACGCAGACTTAGAGCGCGCCACGTCAGAGGTTCCCCACACTGGTGTCAGGTCCTTGTGGAAACTTCAAGATGTTGTGACAGCAGCAACAGCCAATAAAAAAATCGGCAGTTCCTTCTTCGCTATTACTACCACATGGATTCGAACGCTTGAGTTGTTTGGAAGTAACAGTAAACCCACGAGACAGGTCTACAATGGCAAGGTAAAACTCAATGAATAATGTTGAGCTGAAAAGCTGTTCAGATATCCATGGACGTTGGATATGTAAACATAATAATTCTTAGGATAATTTATTTCAACCCGTTATTATTTTAAGGGCGTCATTAAAGTGCAATAAGCACAACACGATGGTGTATTCACAATTGCATTTGTATTCACAACCCAGACTGGTTAGCGAGTAACTTGTGAAAAACTGAAGAGCGGGATGCCAGGGAGGAAGGTTCCCTTCCCTCCCAATTTTGAATCAGGCCTTCGCGAAACAGGAGTTTGCGAACGCACATCATGGGCCTGTGCGAAACAGCTGACCGATGAGATGACCCGATTGCTGCAGAGCATCAACTTGAGGCAAACAGGGGGTGTTGTTACCTACACAGTAATAAATGAGCTCCGTCGTTTGACTACAGCTCCATTCCATCCCTTGTGTGTGCAGTGAGTCTCAACGCATGATCTAAATTCAGACAGTTCCTAATCTCTCAGACTGCGAGTGTGCTGGATATCGCAAGCTTCACATTGGCAACGATCTTCCTTGAAGAGCAGGTTCTGTTTTTCATGCAGTCACAGTTCGAGACGATTTATTTTTCTGATCCTAATTGCGAAGTCATTTACTGCAGATTCCGCCAATGCAGTCCAATCTAGCTGATCTCGTCTCTGCTTGACCTTCTAAGAATTCGGATATACTTCTTATCGCGGAAATCATGCCCCCTAAGGCCCGAGCAAGGAAGGCGCTCGGAGATTCGGGCGTTAATGTGCCTGATGAACCTTCACCCACTAAGTCAACTTCCAGTTTGCGCAAGCGGACAGGTATCACAAAGGAAGTTCTCGTTGCTGAAAATGATGGAAACCAGTGTGGAGTGGCTCCCAGCCACAGAACTCGTGCTCAGGCCGCCAGCAAGTTACCAACGAAGATACCGTCAAGGTTTGACGTTCCTGAGCAGAGTATGCGCCAGGAAGCTGGCGGGTCGGGTTCATTTCTGAATCGATTGGATAATATGGAAAAGGAGTTAGAGGAAACTCGAGCGCGGGTAAAGATGCTGGAAGGGGAAAAGTTGAGAACACAGGAGCAACTGAAGCATCATGAAGATCAAATACGGCAGTTGAAGGCTGAACTTGCATCCGTGAACCATGGAAAAAACGTCTCTACGAGCCAATTGTCGGATCTGAAATCCGATGAGAATAATCGGAATGGACAGAATGACCCCGTACTTCAGGCAATGCAGCAGTTCGTGAATGTTGTGGTGGAGAAGGTGAAAACGTCTCTGAAAGACGAGATTTGCCAAGGCCAAGAGAAGGAAGGCCAGACATTAAAACGGAGAAGAGAAGAAGTTTCACCGCACGGCCAGCAGCAGGTAAGATCAGCCCGCTTACATACTAGGTTTTTTCATCATGGAAAACTTTCGCTCACTTTTTTTGTTTTGTTATTTTTTTTTGCAGGAAGTTGTTTCCCCAAGTGCTCCAAGCACCTCTACCAGCCCTTTGGAGAGTTTTCGTGCCACCCCAATGATAATCTCACAAGCTCGAGCAACAGTTGACGAGCACGCCACTATTCATGACGATCAATACGGCCTCTCAACCATCTACTTTAAACCTGAGATTAATGACGATAATGTGAAGGAAGTGCTCATCGCCATCCCTTTGGCTCACTCTGAAAGGCTTTCTTCCTTCACCTCCATCAACATTACTGGCAGCCTCTCAGGTTCTCGTCTCCCGTCGTCCTCGGCTATTCCTTTTCCACTAGAAGCTGTTTTCACTGGATCAACGCTATATTGCGCTGGCCGTCTCCCTGCTCTCTCCAGTCTATCCATTATTGGGCAGATGATCACTTACGAGGGTGGTCAGTCTATTGGTAGACTCTCGAACCTCACCTCGCTGGAGCTGAGCAGCTGCACAAACATCAACAGCAGCACACTGTCCAAAATGCTCCCTGGCCTCCACAAGCTGGAGCATTTTAAGCTATCCTCCACCGACGTCAAAGAGGCAGGAATGAGGGTAATAAGTCAGCATCTTTCTGGAAGTCTCAAAACCCTCAACGTTACTTCATGTGAAGGTTTGACAAACGCTGCCTTCATGCACCTTAGCAGCTGTAAGCGCTTGGAGAAACTGGAAGCTGGGCACCTGACGAAGCTTTCGGACGCTGGGCTACTTCATCTCGCTGAATTACCTCTGAAGCAAGTCATGCTGGAGTCATCGTCAAATGTTACAGGAGCTTGGCTCCTGAATGTGGCCAGCGGAGTGATACGTCAGCTAGAGCTGCTTGACCTCAGCAACACAAAGGTGACTGACAACGTACTGAAGCATCTGGCAGCCAATGCCGAAGGACTGAAGAGTCTTTGGATTCGGTCGTGTCTGAATGTCACTCAGCATGGGCTGAAGGCACTAAGCGATGTTGGAGAAAGGCTGGACGTTAAGTCTAAGGGATGCAATGCGGCAGGTGTAGTACTCAGGAGGTCGTTGGTACAGCGTTAACATGATTTGGCGGCTGCTATGGTGCTGTTGAAGGGCCAACATTCCCTGCTGTGAAACTTTTGTGAACTCTCATCCTGTCCAGACTGTTAGTGCTAGACGGAAGAACCTCTGCTAGTAGTAGTTCGGTCTCTTAGATTAAGCTGGTTACAATGTATTAGGCAGCAATTGTTGTGAACTTTCTGAAGAACAAATCAGGTTCCACGAAATACTATCTACCGCTATACCCTTCAACCATTCTCATTGCCTTATACAAATCAGCCTTCACAGCCGAGGGTACGATTCTAGTTTCTTCAGAGCTCCAGCAAACAGGGACTTCACCTGAGAGTACCTCTCCATATCAACCGGACTCAGCCCACTCATTGCCGATGCCATTGCCATCTGCATCCTCTTCCCCATTCCACTCCCTCCAGCCGACCATCTGCCACCACCCATCCCAAACCCACTCTCTCCCCCACTGCCTCCCTCCATCCCTTCATCTTCCTCCTCCTCCGACTCTCCATACGACTCACTTCCTTCCATCACATCCTCCATCCCCTCCCCAGCATCCAGCCCACCAGCACCAGACCCCATTCCACGGCTGCCTTGCAATCCCTGTAGCGAACCTCCTGCCATACCAGGCATGGCAAGGGACCCTCCCATACCAGCTCCAGCAGCCCCTGCAGCCGAGCCAGCAGGGGCACCCATGGCAGATGGGTCATGCGGGATCATGTGATGCTGGTGTGGTAGCATGGGGTGCTGACTGCTGCTTCCTCCTGCTGCTCCTCCAGCCATGGTTGCTGAATGCATGTGAGATGGGTCACCATATGGTAGCATGGTACCATAGGGACCCATGCTGCTGTGCAGTCCCCCGATTGGTGAGTCTTGCTGGGAGGAAGGGAGTGCTCCTCCATGTTCGCCCATCTGGTCTTCAGGTTTTATCCCAGGGAGGGCTGGACCGTGTGGGCAGAGGGGAAGCGACCAGGGCAAAGAGGGGAAATTAGCGAGAAAGAGGGAAGTGTGGCAGTGGGGAAGGGGGGTTGGTGAGGCAGAGATAGAGTGGAGGTCTACTGCTTGAATGGGCGGAAAAAAAAAAATGTACAAAGCGATTTGTCGGGGGAGGGGGGAAGAAGATAGAGAGGTATGGAAGCGGGGGTGGAGGGGGGGAGGTTGGAATTTCACAGCATACCTCGCTTGCGAGCAGTGGGCAGCTTGTGGCGGCGCTTGAAGCGGTACAGCCAGCCGTCCGACACCTTGAACTCGTCTGGCAGTATACTCTCCTCTCTACGTTGCACCTTTTCCTGGTCCAGCTATTTCATGCAGAGCTCACCTCGCTTGCGAGCAGTGGGCAGCTCGTGGCGGCGCTTGAAGCGGTACAGCCAGCCGTCCGACACCTTGAACTCGTCCGGGAGGATACTCAGCTCCACTGAGAGTTGCCTGGCCTTGTCCACTATCATGGCATCACTGATGTTGGCATGCATTGAACTCACCTGTTACAAAGGGACAAGGGGTAAGGGGAAATCGGGGGGATGGGAGACATCAAGTCAGCTCCACCAACAGCTGCCTGGCCTTGTCCACTGATGTTGGCATCGCTGATGTTGGCATCACTGATGTTGGCATGCGTTGAGCTCACCTGAAGGAGGAAAGGGGAAGTGGATGGGGGCTGTTTGGGTGAGGACCAAGGGACGAGCCGGAAGGGAAAGCGGATGGGAGGGACAGTGTCAGGTCCACTAGGAGATGCCTGGCTTTGTCCACTATCATGGCACCGCTGACGTTGGCGTGCATTCAACTCACCTGTCGCAGGATAAAAGAGACAAGGGGTAAGGGGGATGGGAGACATAATCACGTCAGCTCCACCGACAGCTGCCAGGGCTTTTTCACTCAAAAATTCGCGTATGTTGGCGTACATTTACACCCTCCTGTGAGCTCCGTCAGCTCCTGTGCACGGATGGAGGTCACAGGAGGATGGAAATGGAGAAGCAAGCGTGAAGGGAGGGCCAGAGAGAATGGCGCGCATGTGAGCTTGAAATGCCACAAGCCCTCCAGTAGCGGATTAAAAGAAATTACTACGTATCTGTTGCACCAACTGCGCGCACCTGTCGGTACCAGTGCGCCAAGGCAGCCTCCATCTGGGGGAACTTGGCCATGCGGCAGCGCTTCTGCTTGGCTGCTGCACCCGACACTCTGAGCCACCTGGGTGCGTCCTTGAGGATCTTGGAGACCGTTGTTCGACTGAGCCTCACTCCGTACCGCCTGTACACCTGGTTAACCAGCATTCAGGGGAACAAAGCGGGTGAAAAGGGAGAGGGGGAAGAGAGCAAGGAGACAAGGGGGAAAGTGGGAGGGGTGAGAGGGGGGAGAATGACGGATCACTTGTGCCTTCTGCTTTGCTGCTGCTCCTGTCACTCTTAACCATCCAATGGCAACCATACGACTCTTTAAAAAACGTTGGGACAACTGAGCCCAGCAGTCAACTCAAAATTGAGCTCACCTGCTCCACCATCTCGTCTTGAGACACGTCTCCCAGCTGCAGCTTCAGCTCGCAGATCTCCTTCACGCCTTCATGCATAAAGACATTCTGAGTCAATCCACAAGCACTGCTCACCTGCTCCACCATCTCGTCTTGAGACACGTCCCCCAGTTGCAGCTTCAGCTCGCAAATCTCCTTCTTAACCTGCCCTGTCACCGCCACTCGCCG